TTTCATAAGAAAATATTTTCCTGAGAATCTTCAGAGATTCGATAGACGCCTCTAAATAGCTCCATTGAATTCTACACCATTTTTTACCTATATGTTCATGTCAAAATCGAAATTGGACGAAGTTTGACCCAAATGATAAAAACATGAATTTCCTTAACTGCATTGCTCCCAGTAAAATCAGTTTTTCTCTATGAGAAAAGAAAATTTGTTGAAACCCATGCTAGGCGTTTTTCGCCTTCACTTGACGGTTCGAATGATATGAGAAGGTTGGAGAAATGTTGTAGAACAAAAGACTAGATAGGTTTGGTAGAATGACGTGTTATTGGTGTCATGTGATGACCGTGTCAGTCTTACTGAAACAGATATGAATGATGAAAAATTCTTGAATTAATACAGTTCTAGTCCAATTTTGATGCTAAATCCGAATAACATAGTTTCGAAGTCTCATCAGTATTATTATTCATCGAAATTTTGAAATTTCTTGAAAAAGTGCGAAATAGATCATTTTCATAGCTATTTTCGTATTTGGAAGCTTTTTCAGTGAAAACGTCGCCAAAAAATGTTTTAAAGGTGATATTCGTGATCAGCTCAACGAGCTCTATCTAACCATTTAAAAAAATAAAGAAAAAAAATTTTTGCTCATGTTTTGCCTTTGGTGCACCTTAGATAAAACTATGAAGTGTGATGAGCCTCCATATATAAAAGACTTCTATCAACTTTTTTTTTTGACGATTTGGGCTCCTATCGTTCTCCTACCATTTTATGCGAATATTCTCTTATCATTGGTGATAAATGATTGTTCAACTTACACATTTTGTCTTGAAAGTTTGTCATTTTGCATACATATATTCGATCATATCAAGTATTTTATATGTCATTGACCCTTTCTTTCATTAATACAGAATCTTGATTGAGAATCTCAATGTCTCAAGTTTAATCTGAAGTTGTAGTGATTCATTACTTAGACATCCATGATCATTCATATATTTCAATATCATCTGTCAAAATATCAGTGTGTCATAGAGTTCCTACATGTGAGTTGATACAGAATCGCTAGTTGCTGTAGTTTTTGTTCGAGGAACATCAGTATCTACTTGTATATCGAGCACTTGAGATCTCACTTCACGAACATCCTTAACTATGGCTTCTTGATATTCTCTTGTCATATGATGTTCTTATATGTTATAGAGACAAAAGCACGATTTTCGTGAAGGTTCTCTAAGCCATGTAGAAACTATTTAGAGAACTGAATTTTCCAATGGTATAAAGACTCAATGACATCTTTCGGCGACCGAAATTGTACCTTTCTAGTATGATCCATTCATGAAATATGCAATCACATAAAAGACAAAAAAGAGACAATTCATCAATAGTTCACAAAGAATTATGATATCTATTCACAGTAAAAATTTCAATTTGAACGGATATATATTTTTGATGAAATATAGATGCCACAAAAAATGCACTTTTTTGGCAATAATATACCCTCAGAAAAATTAAAATATCTTGGAGAATTGAACAATTTTTTTCTAAACAACTTTTATAGAAATTTATCAAATATTTCTCTCTATAATATGTATAAAAAAAAAGTTAGCTAAACTGAGTATTATCGATGGAACTCATCAGGATAAAATATGAAAATAATAAAACAATAATTTTTTTAAAATGCTTATGCACTTTAATAAACTAAAAAGTTGTATTTTTTTTAGTATATGAGTTGTGGCAATTTTCGTCTGAAACATGAAATGAATTTATTCCTTAATGTATGATTTTAATAAAGAAAAAAGAAAAACCAAAATCTTGGCTCATGACATATTTTTCGAAATCCTTTACTTGATAATAAAACTGAATTGTATGAGTTTTTGGACATTATAATTTAATTAATCTTTCTTGAATTCTTCAGCAAAGTCGATTTATTTTTGTTTGATTAAAATACTTTTATTGTCAATAATTGAGTAATACAACAAAAATATTAGATTGATATTCTCTCTACATGATCTTCCTTTCTTATTGACCAAGATGGAAAAAAACATTCGCTTGAATAGTTTATCTAATAATAATGTTGACTGAATTGTAGAGAAGAGTTATCCATGAGTATATACTCAGTAATGAATAAAATAACTTGTTACTCAATTGAAGAATCTATCAAATGAAATATTTTTGAAAATATTGAAGTATTTAGACATAGACGATGTTTTTCTTTTACATTTACAAAACTTAACTCGCATGTCTGATTAAGTTCTAAACAAAATTCTTCTTCATGTTAATATCCATCGTCCTTATTGTCTTTGTGAACTTGAATTTTTGTTTAATCATTGAGATTAAATTTTATTTTTGAAAAATTATCAAAACTACCTAAGATTGTTTTATTTTGTATAATTCAATCTTATAATGTTAATGAAGACAAACTTAACAAATTCAATACATCTGAGTTCAGACAATTGATTTTCATAGAAATATTGAGAACGCTTTACTCAACTGCTCTTTATCTTTATTGTAATCATTCTCAAATTGTAACAACATCACTAGTTAGAAAAAATCTATAACACTTGCAAATTATCTTTTATGGTACATTAAAGGAAGTATCGATTTATTCTTTTCTTCCTTTACTTTGTATTCATCGTGCATTGGAAATTCTTTGTGTGACAATCAAAATTACACCTGTAGCAAGGTTTGCTAGTAGAATGTAAGTCTATATATTAGTTTATTTAAGTATAAAAAATGTTTCTTTTTCTTATGAGTGTGCTTAATCTTCCATTTGTTAATGAAAATGATCTTCTGTTATCATCATTGTTAAAATCATTCGATTTACAAATAGTTATGGTTCAATGCAATATTCATTTAATTTGGTCTTATTCTTCATTGTATATCAAAACTTGATTAATTCGTTTTTACACTTATTGTTGATTAGAATATATTTTACCATTTATTATGGATTTGACTGATGGACAGAATTGGCACGAGATGTTAACAAATGATGTGTCTTATTTAAATAAATTTGATTTTCATATATCTTTGTTGAATGAAATCTGTGTATCAGTTGATGGGACTATTGACTAATTGTTTTGTTTATTTTTTGTAAGTTGAATAAATAAAATTCCAGAAAAACTAAGTAATTTTTCCATTAAATTTTATTTGAAGAAAAATAAAATTTAATTCTCAATCTAATAAATTACATAAATATAGAGAGAATTTCATTTCTAGTTTTCTTTCGTACATAACTGTTGGATTTGTTTTTTTTCACTAGAATATGTCAAATATATAAAATGAGAAAATAATTTTTTTTTGCTATACATCTATTCATCAATAGGTTAACGAAGATATTCTTCCTAGAAAAACGGCATCACAGTTGAGAAGTCAACAAATAAAATGAACAAAAATATTCGAATCTTATGCAATCAACTTTCTTTCAGTCACATTTCATTTAATTGAGTGAATTTTCTTACAATATAAAGATACCTCGTGATTTAATATTATTTTTTTGTTTTTCCATCCACCTTTTTCGAGTTCAAAAGTCTAATAATTATCCGTAATTTTAATGTCAAGAAAAGTTTTTATGTTTATTTATTTACATTGTATGATGTATCTCTGAAAGCAATAATCGATCGTTAAAATAGAAGAAAAAGTTACCTTTGTATTATCCGTTACTTTAATTAAATTGATTTTAGTTGAGTACATTCATACATGGATGCGCCATTCTTATCATTTGGTAAGACGTCATGCGCTTAATTTTCATCACCATCAAATAGACTTCTTTATGCTAACAGAGACAACAACGCTAAACTATTCTTCCAATTTAAAATATAAAATATATCGTGTGTCACTTTCTATATGAGAAACCATTATGCATATCATTCTTATTGAATGAAATGCTACAGCTAAAATATATTGATTATCTTTAAAATATACATATTATTCTATATTCTTTGCTGACTTCACTCACACATCCATACCCTATTCTTCTTTTACATTTCTTTCATTTCGACTGATTTTTCTTCATTAAATCACATTTTATTCTTTCGAAATAAAATCAACAGGAGAATTCTCTATTCATCATTCTTTCTAACAAATTGCAAATAGTTATGAATATGTTTGATTTGATATTTTTCAGAAACTTTCTCCATATTTAACAATTGAATTATTTTGCTGAGATCAGTAAATGAACTCATACGGAGAAAATCAGACATATGGTGAAAATGAAATATAAAAGATTGAAGATTTTTAAACATTGTCAATAATTCCTTAACAAGTCTTGTTGTATGTTCATTTATATAATCTAAATCTCTGAATGTAAGCTTGACCTCAACATATTGAATCTTAATGAAATGCATATAATCTGTTCCACGAAAACATTCATCAAGTTCTTGTGAAAATATCATTTTGTTTGGTGAAAGTGAGACCGAGTAAACACTAAAAGATAATATTAGAATTCTAGTATTTGGGAAGATATTAATTAACCATCGTTTAATAGTTTTAAGATCATCAATTTCACAGTGAACAGTGGTGACACTATCTAATGTTATGTCGGTTTGATTTGTTTCATTATCATTTGTAAATAAATTACGCATCAGTTTAAAACTAAAGGTAATTGATGCTAAATTTGGCATTTTTGATTTCAGTTGTTTTATTAGATTTAAACTGAATTTGGAAGAGTTAGAAGATCCAATCGATTTCACATGAGACCATGTCTTTGAAGAATTTAAAATCACTGAATTATTCGATTTAATTTGATCGAACTCAATAAAATCTTTCATGTTGTCAAAGTGAAATGGTATCGTATATAAATATGTTTCATGTATTCCAAATGTCCAATGATGATCAAACCAAAATTGAGTTTGAAATGTTGATAAGAAACTTTCGACATTCACAGGTTCTTTATTGAATTGTGTATAAAGATGAAATGATTTCAATTGTGTCATTGATTCTAGAAATTGTTGCTGAAGTGTAAAACCATCGAATTGAAACTCGCCAGTATATATTTCGTTTAAATTCAACGATAAATGAATTAGTGAAGAGGAAAATTGTTTGATAAACCATGTTAAAAAACGAAAACCTCTTTGATCCATCCAGCCCTTTTGTAAGGTAATGGAAAATTTTTTTAATTTGATTTCAGATAAATCCATACTCGGATTTGATCGATTATTTACAAAAAGGATCAATAAACAAACGTTTAGATATTTTAAATTTCGAGTATAATAAAACAAAGAAAAGAGACAGTTGAAGTTGGATATCGTCAGCGATAATGATTGAAGATTCATACTGATATTTAGATTGTTCACATTAGTGAGCGAAGATATGTATAGTTCTGGTAAAGATTCAAATATATGTAAGGAATTTTTCTCATAGAATACTTCATAAAACGAAAATCTCTCATAAACATCGTTTCTATTGACAATTTGACATTTAATTTTAAATGAATTTAGTTTCTTAAATTGTTCACTTTTCAATATCAAAACTAATTCATCATGGTAGATGGGTATTGAAGAAGAAATAATTAAAGATTTGAGGTTAGGAAATAAATCAAATGAGAAACAAAAATCAGTTGTAGTAATAATTAAACATTCAATTTGTGAACTAATAATCGGTAAAATTGTTTGCCAGAAGGAGATATTACTTGTCGGTGTTGTGAATTGATTTAAAAATCGGCGATGTTGTAATAAAATAGAATTAACACGTTGATTCAAATAGAAAAATGTGTAAATAATATCATTACAAGATAAATAATCAAAGATTTCGAAGAGAATTTCTGTAGCTAATTGATCAAATAAACTCAATGAATTCTTCTCAGACATGTTCCAGAGTATTGGTTGGTTTTTTCCCTCCTTTTGTATTAAATATGTTGTACTGACACAAAAGTAAAATGAGTAAGAGAAAATAGTCATCATGAAGTAGTATTGAAACAAGGTAAAGATGTTTTATTTTCATTCACCACTAAGAAAAAAAAAGAAGAAAAATCATCAGATGTCATTACTTGGCAATGAAAAAAAAATGATTTGTTTTGTTTATGAAAGAGCGAGAACATGATTGTGCAATTCAAGAACAAAAACGAACAACACAAAGTGTTGTGTGTAAGAAGCAATTGTTGCATTCTTCAGGAAAATCAATAGCGTACATTGAAGATCTATCAAATGAACTTCTATATAAAAGTTTCAAATATCTCAATCACTATGAAATCTTTGCGACGTTTTTGAAGTCTTCTTGTTTATTCATCTAAACCGTTTAAGGATACCCTCCCCATTCTCTGTTTTGGCCATTTCTGATTCTCGAAGACGGCATAGATAGAGTATCAAAAACAAAGAGATACGTATTCGAAGAAATAAGATTTGAATTGGACTTTTGAGAATGTTTCTAGAAAATCATGGTTTTCCAGCGGCTCGTATCCTGAGCCACTACAAACTGCTCAAACTTCATCCGATTGAGTTGAAGTTTTTTATAAAGATACCTAAGACTATTCCTTAGAGATAAATCTCAACATTGTTGAGAAATCTTAGTTTCTTCTTTTTCTTCTAACGAGAGAACTACCTGAGGTACTAAAAAGCTTATCGACTTGTTATATGATGGTTAGACAGGATATGGCTAGGTGTGATATATTCTGAGTTGATTCGTGCCCAAGGAATAAACAATGATGTATTGGAGTAAAAATTTTGTTATATCTAGTTCAAATGATGATCTTGATGATTTGTAAGTTGGAGCTTAAGAAGATAAAGAGGGTGTGAGTGTGGGTGAAGGAAACACCCACACCCTTACTACCAATTGCATTAGCTGCTAAAGATTTACCAAAAAAATATTATTTGAAAGATAAAAATCTTTCATGGATTAACTCACAATAGGGTATCTGAAAGATTGTTTTCAATAGTTGTTGAAAAACTACATTGTTATTGAACGAAATTCTTGTGCTGTAGTCTCTTAAAGAAATGGCTTTGTGGAGGATATTTTATCTCTTTTTTTTGTTTGCTCTTTGTTCGAAACTATGTGTTTATCCTATTAATTGCATAGAGCAATAAAATTTTCTATTGAAATGAGTGAAATAGAATGAAAAGAAAATCGAATATTTGATTCGATATTCGATGTGTCCATCAAATACCTTTTATTTTACATGAAACTTAATATATCCAACAATGTCATATATTCAACGGTAAATTCAAATGTGTAAAATATAATGAAATATTTGATGAATGAAACTATTCGTAAACGAACATTCGAATTCAATAAATCCCATATTATTGCTGATCGTGCCCGAACTCGACTCGACAAAGATCGACTAAAGCTCGTTCTTAGATCGGATTTCAGACCTATAACAAGAGAATTCTCTCCCAGGTGATTAAAAGATTTAAAAGTGACAGTTAACAAGATAAGGGCTCATATGCTTTTCTTTCGAAATTATGAGCGTTTTAGTGAGTTTTCAGCCTGTGGGTGTGGATCTGGGTGTCAGCGTGGGCGCGGGTACGATATTCTTTTCCCTCATACTCATACCCACACCCCACACCCACCCACACCCCATATGACTTGTCATTGAATGGCTTTGTTGTTGCCTTTTAAACGACCATTTTCTCCACAAAACATACATTAAATTCTAGATAGTTAACAATCATAGAGGAAATAACCGGTGTAATATTCTTGACACCGTGTTATTCAACTCTTATTCTCAAAAACATTGAAGAATAATTTGCCAAATTGAGGTTCCCAACGAACTGTTCTCAAGTTTGAATATATTCGAATGAAAATTGTAAAGAAACTTGGCATTTTGAAATGAAAGACTCCTATCAAATATGCATAATACACGATATTGAGATAGTTTGGAATTTTTCATGAGTTATACTACTTTATAACGTCGAAGTAAAATCTTTTACTGTTATGAATGATGAAAACAAGAAAATACCGGTAGTTAGGTCTTTTATTTGTTTGTACAGAAATAAAAAACGAGGCCAGTTTTATTTTTTGTTCTAAATATATCATAAAACGAAAGATTTTAACCGATCAGATATTTTTATTTTCTTATATTTACAAATACGTATTAGTTACTATCTTTGGCTTGAATTCGAATCTGTGTATTGTATTATTAAAATAATTTATTCAAAAATGAAAAGAAATGAGTCTTACGATTATCTCACATTCATATCTCTTACAACCAAGAAGTTTCATCAATGAAAAAAAGTTGTTCAATCTCATATCATTTATATATGTGTTGTGTTATTCTGGTAGCGTTTACTTATGATTATTTCGAAAAATAACTTATTACTACTATTGAAATTCACTATTGGATCTTATTGGATTTTATTCTAATATCAGCAGAGAGGGATGTGGGTGTGTTTATAAAATAGTGATTTTTGAGCATCATACGACGCGTTTCGACTATTGCTCAGATAGTCATCATCAGGTATGTTTGAAATCAAATACTACATAGACATAACGTAATCAAGAACGTCTCATACACATTAGTATTCAAGCAAATTTCTATGAGAGTCATAAGGGCATGTGTGTGGGCATAGGTGGATGAAGAGAAGACTCACATCCTTATTCGAAAAAATAAACATTTTCTATATGTATGTTTTACAAGTAAAAACTACTTTTTAATGTTTATTTTGTGAATATAAAGCTAAAGAGAATGATTATATTCTCGAATAATAGAACTATTTCTCATCCTTTCATGTTTCGGTGCAAATCTGTAAGATTATGAAGTTCTCTATATTGTATATGCATGGCTTGCTTCTATTCTCTTTTTTTCTGTGGTTTCTCCTGATTGTCCCTCTTTCTGATCGCTTTTTTCTTATTCTTCTTCTCTTATTACTGTCTATATGCGCATTGATATGGATTCTTGATGGTTTCTTTTGTTGACATGTATGTCCTTATTTGATAATGAGAAAATGTGGTAACAATAAATAATCCGATTCGATAAGTATGAAACGGTCTTATCCATATCGAGCGCATACAATCTATACATTTTTATGTATGTCAATATGCTTTTATGAATATTAACTAACAAAAAAGAAAAGTGTCAGAAAGTTATATATCAGTTCTCTTCTTATTATACATATTCTCTATAAATAAAACAATTTCCAGGCAAAAGAAAAAAGATAATTGATGAAATGATTTGCGCCAAACAAGGAAAAATTATATGTTATTGTTGCCACTTTGTATCGTCTGCTATGTTCTACTTTTGCTCTTATTTTGTTTCCATAGATAGTAATGAATATTGTTTGCAATCTTAGCATACATAACCATTGCTAACATTTACAAAGTTTCCATATTTGTCTTTGATCTTTTTTCTGGATATCCATTATATCATACATATATATAAACTCTATCTTCCGTTATTCTCATTCAGTTAATGCGTGAAATGAATAGATTTCTATTCGTTGCATTCTTTTAACTGTTAACTAACGCACTTATTATCATAGTATTAAATCCTATGAGAGTTCTCCAATCTTCTAGTTTAGATTATTGTTCGAATGTATCCCATTGATATTATCAAATGAGTTCGCTTGAATGACATTGTTTCGCAAACATGTTTCATATTTTTCCTTGCCGAGTAAGTTCGTTTTGTACATAAAGAGTTGATGAACGATATGTTTTCATTATCCGTAAGCTTTTACTGAAGTTTCACGAAGAGGAAAATTAGAAAAAGGCATGCGCATTTTCGAACAGTCACCTTCGGTAACTACTCGTCATTCGTTAACAGAATAAAAACGTTTCGCACATCTAAATCGAGTTTTTCCTCATAAGGTCGATGTGCGCTTTCAAATAATCTATATTTTAATTATTTCTGGATGACAAGTATTTATTACCAAACCATAATTCAACTGTTGACAATAGTAGAAAATCCCCATTTTCATAAAGGTTATTTAGATAATATTGATTTTTGCAAGATATTCTAACCAATATATTAGAATCAAAATTTCTTCTGAATATTTGTGAATATGTGAAAACATATGATTGAATTACAGGCGAAAATATGTATGTTTTTCAAACGAGAAGAGATTTTTTGCAACTAAAAAACCCTCTACATATGAAGCGCTACTAGATTAGATAAATGAATGCGTTTGTAATTGAAAACAATTGAATTACAAAATAATTGAGTATTTATTGATTGATATGAATAGTTTTATTAGGATCTACCAAGGAGCGTAGAAATGAAAGTGCAAGCATAGTAATCTAAGTATAGACTCTGATGAATTCTAATAGATTCCAATAGAACTTCTTAACATAATATATAATCATTATGAAAATCTTTTTTAGGTTCTGTCCGAAGCGTTGAGAATAGAAAAAAACAGTCTAAGACGTTTTACCTAGAACTTAAAAGGCTTAGAAAACAGTACCGAACCTATAAGTTATAAGTTTCATCATAAAATCCTTTTCTTTTAGATTGTAGTGGTGCTTTTTTTTATCGGCAAAACAAATAAATTCGAATTCGTGTTCTACAGGAAAAATGAGCCTTACCGCGGAACAAAAGAAACTTGCCCAATCGACAATACCCACATTGAGAGAACATGGCAAGGAGTTAACAACGAAATTCTACGGGGCATTGTTCAAGGATCAACCACAATTTCACAATTTTTTCAATCAAACCAATATAGATAGTGGAAAGCAACCTGCAGCACTCGCCGAAACTGTCTTTCGTTTCGTCGAAAATCTTGACAATTTGGATGTGATGACGCCGCAGATGTCACGTCTCTCAAGCAAACATCGTGCTGTTGGTGTCCAACCAGAACTATATCCAATCTTGGGCAAGCATTTATTACAAGCTATCAAAGAACATTTAGGCAGCAAAGCGACACCTGAAGTAATGTCTGCATGGGAAGCTGTTTATAATGTTATATCATCAACCTTCATCAAACGAGAGAAGGAATTGTACGATCAACTTGGCAACGATAAAGGTTTCGTTCCATTCAATGTTGCCAAGAAAGAAAACATTGCAAGTGGACCGACATGTCTTTTCACCTTACAACGTCAAGATGGTGGACATCCCTGGGCTTTAAATGCTGGACAATATATAACAGTGCGCATTGAAAAAGGTGGTGTACTCCATCATGGTCACTATACTCCCATTGATCCATCGAATAACAATACTTATACAATTGCTTGTCGGGAAGGACATGTTGATCAGAATACAATTGTCTCTGAAGAATTGATTCGCAATCGCAATGTTGGTAGCACCGTTTTAGTTTCAGGTCCAGCTGGCAGTTTTGGACTCGTCAATGATGCAAAACATCATTTATTCATTGCTGGTGGTATTGGTATTGCTTCACTCATGGGAATGATCAATGAAGTGAATAAACAAGGAAAAACCTCTTCGGTAAGTGTTATTCAATGTGTACAAAGTGAAGATCGTGCTGCGTTTGCTGACAAATTGCGTAATATGCTTCCAAAAGAACAATATGTTATGTTGACAAAAGATCATCCAATATCAAAGAGCCATCTTGAAGGCAAGTTGCAATCAGACACACATGTCTACATATCCGGCTCAGAAACATTTTTAGCTGCAGTAGAAAATGTTCTTAGCCAAACTGGTCATCCAAGATCTCACATTCATATTAAATCAATCGAACCAACACTTGGTTTATTAAAAGCTATTGATCGAAAATAAATCATCACCGAGTGGAACAACGGCAGCTCAACAACAGAACTCTAATGTGTTTCCCATCTAATCATCCTACTTTATTGATTAACAACATGTTTTGCTTGTCCCCAAATATTTTATTCTATGCACGTAGTAGTTGATTTCTGTTTCACTTGTTTATTAATTAGCGTTCTCTATATTAGTGTAGGTTTATCTTTTTTATTCATTTGAAATAACTGAAATTAATGATGAAATCAAAATGAAGAATATCATCCTGTTTAGTTCGCAAAATGTTTTTCTCCTATATAACATTCAAGTCAGATTTCCTTGACAAGACTACAGACAACAACTCACGTATGTTCAAAGACATATTCGACGGCACTTCTTTTATTTTTATTGACAGACTAGCTTGAGATTTTTTCTATTGCCGATAATTCATTTTGATGATGCAATTTTATCTCTGGAAAAGAGCTGCAATTTATATTCCAGTAAATGATAGTGGATTCACTAGTCGATCGACGTTTTCTTAAACGACACTCATAGAAAAAGATTCCTTGCTTTTGAAAGACATTCAAAAAAAATTTGTATAAATTTGTTTTTGACAACTAACCATGTGTCGGAACTGCAACACAAGTCAAGATATTGATATATGTTATATGGTTCTGTCCATCAACATGCTTCAACAAATAGACCCTTTTTTTCTCTTATTTTTTGTCATTCACCACAAATAGTTCATTAATTTTCTTTTCAGATGAAATGAAAGTTATTTTATTGTGATTTCTTTTTAAATATCGAAAAATAGAAATGAATATGCTTATGGAAAATAGTGATGTTCTTCATACACCTATCACAGTTGCTTGTTGAGCAGTCAAGTAATTACTTCAAAGATCACTTTTCAGTCAGTCGACTTAAGTAAAAATCAATAAATATATTCTATTAAAGACTACCATGAAATTTTTCTACACATCGATTTTGTTGATAAAAATTCATTTTATTGTTCGAATTATAAGCATGTACTAATATCAAAATTCTTAATTTTCGGGTGTGGGTGTAGGTGTGGATGTCGGTGTGTGCTGCGTGTAGATGTGAGTAAGAATGTTAGTGTGTTGTATTCTCACACCCACACTCAAATTCTCCCGAAAGTTTCTATACCTCCTATATCTTCTATATTTTAATAAACAGGAAAGTAAAGGGATGTCTGGAAATTCAAATAAGGCATCTAATCCTCAAAGAAATGTATACAATTTGGTAAACCAGGGTGTGGGTGAGTCCAGCGAATACTCGAACTCACACCTACACCCACACTTGCACATCCACACCCAAAAAAAGCTGATAACTACACTATGTAAAATTAATTTCTCTATAGTTTATTAAACAATGATGAAATCATTTAAAGATTGTTCATCAGTCGAACTTATATTTTTTTATGTTATCCAATTTTTTTTATAAATAAATAAATTTGAAGTTTGTTGCGCGCGGATGCTAGAGTTTGTAATGAGGAGTGTCTGTAATGGGGAGTATATCTGTAATATTCTCTTTCGTTTCTAAGTGTCTGTAATAGGGAGCGAGGAGAGCCGGAAAAACTTGAACTTAGAACTTATACTCACTATTTTCTTCAAAAATATACGTGAGTTCCACAAAAGATTCTATAATCTTACGTTTATCAGATTGCATTCCTGCAAACTGCCCTATATGTCAAATATTCGCGTCGTTAACGAAAAGCAACCAATGAAAAGTTATGAAAAGCATTTGTAGTTCAGAGAACAATACATCGCGACATCACTTGTATGAAAGATAGCAATTTTTTTAAAAAGATTAGAAAAAATTGTTGGGTGAGTACAGAGAATTTTCGGGTGGGCTAAGCCCACGTCTCTCATCTGTGGCTCCGCCACTACTAACAATCAATGTTAAAAGTATACATACAAAGTTTTTCAATAAACATCTTAATAAACAAAGCATAGATCTACAGATATACTGTTTAAGGCAAGAAGATATTTGATGGCAAACTAAAACAATTGTCGATAATGTATTAATAGTAGGCACATGAAATGACTATAATTTACAACAACGATTGATCTACATTGGTGGTTGAATAACTGTACAGTTTATTTCGAAATCGATCGAAGAGGGAAAAAGCTAAAATTTTGATTGCCCAGATTGAGTTAATTGACAAATGCTTGACGATGATTGATAATGATTGCTTTTATTTTTTCAATTGTTAGACAATAGAATTAAGTTCTTCCTGCTATCGTTGACGACTTTCGTCGTTAAATAGGTCGGCAATCATATTTATTGCTCGTAAACTGATAGTTTTTTAATCGCAGACGTGTGTGAGAAGCAACATTGGAACGAACATTATATCTTTTGAAATAGAAACGAAGAATTCTTCAAAATTTGACTATTGTCTGTCCATATAAGATCAAAAATAAGCTTCATATGGCAACGTCTTTATGCGCTAGGCCGAATTGGATAATAAAACTTCTAAGACTAAAAGTTTCGTCTGAATCTTCATCGCAAGACCACCAGTACTTACCATATTCAAGGAAACCATACGCATCCCTTTAGTTTCCTGTTGAGATAAGTTTTCCAATTTTGTATGTGAAAAAGCTTTCATACAGAAAATTCCAGTAAATTCGCTCTATTCTAACGACTACCGGCTCTCTTAACTACTAATGCACACTTTTAATAAGCTATGTAATCGCTAGTACTAGTGGGCTAAATCATGACTGTTGTTCAGTTTTATTAGTATTAATGATCAACTGATCAGTAAATGTTTACCATTACATTACCATAATCGTGCTCCCTATTGATCTATCAAACCCATTTGATCAAAAATGTCTCAAACTACAGACAATTTAACACGATAAGACATTTCGTCGTTAATACAAAACGCTTACTCCGCAAGATTTGCCTCAGAATTCTAGCATGTTATTAATTGACAATGATTGCTTTTATTGCAATCCGCTTTCCCCCCTTGTATAGACTTCTCCTCTTTCAATTGGTGAAAATCGCAGGTCGCTAACTGTTGCTGTTATCGAATTGTTTCACTTACACTTATGCCTCTTTAATTCTAGGGCGAACATTAGATACCATTTTCTAAGAAATATTTTATCCGACTAAGAAATTTTTCATCTGATCTCCAAAAATGAGATGTCATACATCAATGATATAGAAATCCAATGAGACTTAATTGAATAGATCTAATTGACACTACAATGTGTGTAGGAGAGAGCGGATTCATGAGATGTTTTTTGAAAAAATGCAGTAACGAATTTCGGATCTCAAAAACATCTCAGTCATTATTTTTTGTTTGAATAACGTTTAATTATTCGACGCTATATGAAGCTTCTTTTTTTGCCATTAGAAAAGACGAACTCCTACATATCTATGGATACATCATTTCATATAGATTCTTTTCTTGGTCAAAGTTTTGTTCATTTTTCTCTCACGTAAGTATAAAAATTTAATTTATTGATTTTTTTGTGTTTCTAAAATCCAAAAGTTTTATTAGTCAAAAAGAATAGTGATGAAAAGTTTGGCAGTAGTATGGTTATTAATAGTCATGTGTTCAGGAGTCGTTTGATATTCAAATAATTTTTAGTAATACATAAACAAAAGTAACATCATAAAAATGATAAAAGTAAAATTAGAACAATTGTATATACTGATGCCTTTTGATCGATGTTGTGAATGTTGTTGTATAATAAGGTCTGCTACTTTTTCGCACATACTATAGAGAATATACATTGGATTAACATTTATCTGTGTTGGAAATAGACTAATATCAGCAACTCGAACATTTTTTATTCCTAACACTCGGGCTTCATTATCTGTGCATTTTCCCAGTCCACAGGTACCTGCTGGATGGTAACCACTACCTAAATTTAATTGTCGATATAAAATATCAGATCCTCCATAGCGATTTCCAGGAAATAATTCTTGTTTTACATATTTCTGACCCCACCGCATATTCTTCGTAAAATTTCGGACAAAATTAACAATATATTGAAGATTATTTCGATCATATTCAGATAAATTTTGCCAACCATGATCAATTTGTGGTCGATCATATGGTGATAATGATTGAATTTTAACGGTTCCTGAAGCTTCAGGCTGTGTATGATAGATAAGAAATGTGATTAATGGTATGCGTGGTTGTGAATAAGCAAGAGTTGGATCATAACCTATTATTGGAGCATCAAATGATATATCAGGATTTACAGAATAAAGAAAAATTTGAATATCTGTCCAATTTCTATTACTTTCTTTCAATCCACTGTTCGATAACCATGCAAAAGTACGAAAACTCAATGGTAGTGCAGGTAGTTGTTCATAAGTTTCAAAAGCCATAAAACTGGCCATTTTATCGACAAAATTGTTTCCTACTTGTGAATTTTCTGCCACGATTTTAATATCGAATGGTTGAAGCCATTCTTTCGGACCAACACCAGATAATTGTAAAAGCTTGGGTGTATCAAAAACGCCAGCAGATAGAATAACTTCTTTTCTTGCTATTGCTGTATATATTTGTCCTTTATATTCGTATGCAACACCAATACATTTTGTCGGTTCATTTTCATCGAAAACAAGTTTTAAAACAGTTGCTGAATCTAATACTTGAAGATTTGGTCGACTTATGCCATTTAAATATGCTGACCATGTACTCGCTCGTATACTTTCAGAATTTGGATCAGATTTATTTAAAGGCTTACGAAATTGTTGTACAAAATAACAACCATATTGTTTGGTTGGATTATCAGAATCAGTCATAAATCCATCATATTCATTACATTCATTCTTTAAATCTAATAGTGGTTCAGGCATTTGTTGAAATAATGGTGGAGCAATATCCATTGGACCATGTTGACCATGCCATTTTCGACAATCTATATCTGATATTCCAGTTAATGATGATGGAAGATAATAACAATAATGATTTTGCATTTTGATCATATATGGAAATAGATCATCCCATTTCCATCCG